ACAGTTATTCTACGAACTCGAGTCGAATATGAGCTGATAGCCGATGAGGCGCCTAGCGCCGAATCGGCTATCGCTCATATTCGACGAGAGTGAGTGACTTTGCTTTTCGAATATTTTCAATATTTTTCTATTTTGTTTATGTTTTTATCTTCGCTCTTTCGGCCGATTATTTTTTCAAAAATATATATTTTTAACCATTTTAAATATTAAAAATTTATTTGCTAACCTGAAAACAATTTGTGGGAGTTTTTCATTGTGTTTTTAATCCTGTGAAGGCTATAAAAAACGACAACTTGCCGTTTTCTCGTTTGCAAAACATCGTAAATTCAGTTTGGCCGCCATTTTGTTTTTCTCTACTAGCAGGATATGAGCTAATATCCTGCTAGTAGAGAACCAATCAGATTGCAGAATACCTCATATCCAGACCTTGTGTATATATATAATAATTGATACTCCTGTGTATATGAGGTGTGATATCCGCCAAATTGGGCCCGGCCAAAATTCATATATTGAATTAGTTATGCCATCGGAAATTGCATTTATGAACTTCAGTTATGCTATTATGAACTGTGATGATATTCAATATAATGTCATTCGGCACTTCCGGTTTAGTGGGAAAAGCACACGGGAAATTATAATTCCAACATGGCCGAAGGCGAAGGAAATTTAGGTCAACAACACAGAAATATAAGTACTGGAAACAAGTACGTATTGGAAACAAGTAGATCTCGACAAACTAGAATTGAGCTAACAAATATATTGCAGTCAATCTTGAGACCACTACGATCAGAGAATGTTGACGAAAATGTAGTTAATAGTGCGCAGTCTTTGGTGTGCAGTACTTCCTAGCTCGATTGTATTTTTAATTTTTTTCGATTATTTTTTTCAGATTATTTTTTTTCAGATTTTTAATATTTTTTCAGTGCAGTAATAAATTTACGTGGTGTTTCCACAAACAAAACCATTATATTTTATCGCCATGCAAAGATACAAAGAACTTATTTTTGACGGCAGTGACGCTAGATGTTGTAGTTGGTACGTTTTGAATATTTACAATCGAACGAGCATACCGCAGTTAGCTTTGAGAAATTACATTTGGACTCGCAACTTGTGCTGAAGAAACATCATTTGATGATCCACGATATTCTCTGATCAGTCTTGTCGCCTCTTGCAACAAAGAAACAGCAAGCTGTTGACCCAAATTGCCTTCGGCCATGTTGGAATTACAATTTACCGCGTGCTTTTCCCGCTAAACCGGAAGTTGAATTTTGGTTTCTGAGTGCACTGTGCCATGAAGTGCAATGTCGAATGACTATTTCAATAAAAGGGAGTTTACGCATGTAAGACGGCAGCATCAGGACGACGGCTATCAATACAATATCATTAATCCTATAGCACGCAACGTTCCGGTTGCGTCCTCCCCAAGCACCCCCGCGCGCTCGCTCAGCTTAGCCACTGATCTATATAAAAACACTAGTGTGCCTATTTTTAGTTATTTGCGCCTGGGTACGAGGCTGCATTCGATCGCTAAAAGCCTAATCTTTATTAGGATGGGAAAATTAAATCTATACATACCTAATACTTAACGCACAATAACATGGCAAATTTTTTATACACCCTCTATATAATGAAATAATTTAAAGAAATGAGAGCATTTTTATTTTTCTACGTTTTATTAGTTATCTTCAAGAATGGATGAAATTACAAGCATAACAGCGCCTTATATACCCTAGTTAATACAGCTACTGTCTTTCGTATAGTGATAATGATATGCGTATTAATATATAGAACAATATAAGTCATAGTTCGTTGTGTTCACATTTACTATGACCAAGATATTGTTAGTGAGTTTCCTTCGAACTTTAAGTTTTAGTGCAGCTAGGATTCAACCCGTCGACATATTTTCAGGCTTTTCAAAGCTTTCAATCCTTCAGTACGTAACACCTTGTTTTTCCAGTAAAATATTAAACAGTTGAATGTACAATTCATCAAAGATATGGTTAGAGCCCACATCCATACAAGGTTTGCATTATCCAAAGTATTTTTTGTCTCTGGCGAGTTTACTCTTAATCCAATGTAGACGCACCATGGAATGGATATCACCACAACACAAGCGACTACCAGCAAACAACTCGAAATATTTTTCAAAGAAAGCGTCTTTTTCATCTCGGGCGATATTCTTTTGTTTTTACGACTTTTCCTCACGACTAGAAACAGTTTGTAGTTGATAAACAACATTGCAGGAGTGACAAGAATAAAAAGAATTAGACAATGTAAATGGTAGGAAATATTTCCAGACATCGCGCGCAAAATTACTTCGACGATGATCAGTACTGCAAGAAGAGTTAAAACTTAAAGGTCTTCCCTTCGTTACCGATGTTCGATGAAAGATAGGATAAGATGTCGCCAAATATCGATCGAAATTCATCACCAAAGAGCGAATAATGAAAAGACAAGCAACGTACTTGTCGCGTTTAAGAAAATATGAGGCCATCTAACATTTACATCCAACTTTTCCGTCAACCATAACATCGTGATAAGGGCCATCAATGGACTATTAGTTAAAACCATAAGCAAATCGCAACAGGACAAAACCGTTATCATGAAATAACATAATTTCTTTCGAAGTTGTACAGATCTCCAGAAACTGAGTATGACCAAGGAATTTAAACATATTCCTGAGAAAAATAAGAATACATTCAGAGCAAATATGAATAACCGATTGATAAAATGATAAGATTCCATTTCGAGCGACGTCTTCTGAAGAATTAAACATAAAACCAAACGTTGTGTTTAAATATTAGACCTGAATTTCAAGTACTCAAGTGTATAAATGACAAGTAAACTAAACATTTAGTTATGAAAAAATGGTAATTGAGGAAGATATAGCATGCTTCTGTGTTTGGATGTGTTTGAAAATATTTCATATTTTATAAATACATGCAAGCTCATGGATGTTATGTACAACACGTCATACTGATGTAGAACTGAAATAGCTATCCATACAATACAAATAAAGTTAGTTTTGTTTAGGTGTCATCCATGAGTAGTGATCCTGAATCAATATAAGAGATGACCCTTGCTGGACCTCTAGAAAAAACAGTTTAGAACTGAAGTTTATTTCTCTAAATAAGTATACGTTTAGCCTGGTTTTTAGCCTCATCTTATAACGTGTTTAACTCGGCAGTAAGATGGAACGTGCTGTTAGCTTAGGCCATCAGTCATCTCTAAATAAATGTCTCGCCCTGCTCTCGAGTTGTTTTCTATAACTACAAACAGTAATAACTATTAAGGTACGTTTTAACTATAAATGTTGACAGAATAATATCTGCTTTACATAACTTTAATATAAGACTTTTTCATATACTACGGCAACTGTAAGTATAAAATCCTTTTGACGTTGTTCGTAAAGTGTATAAAATTTACACTGGAAATTTCCTTCTACAAAACCCTTCAACATTATTCTTCAATCAACTGAGATGCCCAAAATTCATAATAATAATATGACGCGACCCCTCCCTCTCCTCCGTGCCCTACACTTTTCTTCAGCATCAATTTTGCAATTCTTTCCACACTTAGGAGAAAAACTGGGGGGAGGGGTGCAAAATGGTAGAAAATCGGTCATTTTAAATCGGTCATGTTAGTTCAGTTTTTAACGCAATGATACAAAAATATCTCATTCGATAGCTAAAAGCCTAATCTTTATTAGAATGGGAAAATTTAAATTTACACATATCCAATACTTAACGGACAAATATTTTTCTGTTGTAATAGGCGATTCTTTACTAAAAGGTCTTCGACAACACTCGATTACGAAAGCTACTAACACCAAAGTACAAGTCAAATGCTTTCCAGGTGCCAAACTCAGCGATATGAAGCACTACAGCATCCCACCCTTGGCCACTGATCCTAAACACGTAATTCTACACTGTGGCACGAATGACTTACAAAACAAGAGCCCACAAGAATTAACTAAAGAAACAGGAGAGCTATGTGATTTTATTTTGGCAAATTGTCCTAATACTGATATCACTGTGTCGTCGATACTCACGAGAAAAGATAATCAAGGTAACAAAATCGCTGAGGTAAATGATCAACTTCGATTGTTATGCATGCTTAGAGAAGAATTTGAAATTTTTATTACACGCAAACATAGATAATAAATGTTTAAATCGTTCAGGGCTTCACTTAAACAAACTTGGTGAGTTTATCTTTTCCAAGAATATTATTGGAGCAATAAAGTGCTTTTATCCTTAAGTCTGACTGTCTTCCAAACTGCAGCACATCGGAAAGTGATTTGACCCCTGTAAACACACCTGAATATTACTGTTGCGATACCAATAATTAACTTGATTTTGAATGATGCCTCCTTAAGCAAAAACGAATTTGAGACTTCAAAAGGCATTCGAATAGCACATTTAAATATCACCTCCCTCCCTAAATACATTGATCAATTAAAAACGTATCTCATTAATAAACCAGTAAATATATTTACCATCAATGAGACAAGATTAGATGAGTCTATCAGTGATGAAGAGGTTAATGTCGAAGGATATAACCTCCATGCATAGAAAAGATAGATGTAGATCGGGAGGTGGTGTGGCTATTTACACTAGGGATGTCTTGAACGCGAGAGAGATGTCTCAATTTGTCCCTAAAGATATTGAAGCGGTTTGTCTGGAGATAGTTAAACATAAAACTAAACCAATCTTAGTTACATGTATTTAACGCCCTCCTAATTCCAAAGCCGGCTTTATGGATGCTTTAATTAGAAAACCATTTCCATTTACTTGACGAACAAGATAAAGAACTAATCATTACAGGAGACTTAAACTGTGACCTCTCTCTCTCTCTCAGTCTTGCAATCCCATTCTCGTAGACTTATGGACATCCTTGAGTTATTTCAAATGAAACAACTGATTATAGATCCCACGCGCACAACAGGCAACACTGACAGAATCGTTAATTGACATAATCGCAACTAACCGCCCTGATAAAGCAAAAGAAAGCGGCGTGATTGAAATAGGTATTAGCGATCACAGTCTTGTGTGTTCATGTCTGAAAATATCAGTACCTCGAGAAAAACCGAAGATCGTTGAAAGCAGAAATCCAAAAAAATTAATGTTAACTGCTTCAATAGCCATCCTTCTCAGTTACTGAGGTACTCGGCTTGGAATCAGAAAGATCCAGACCTGTTATGGGATCAGTTCAAAAACATATTCAATAGTATATCAGATATTTAACCTCCAGTTAAAACTCGAAAGGTAAGAAGTACTTATGCTCCATGGTTAACAACTGATATTAGATGTGAGATGAACACGCGGGATTATCTGAAAAAGAAAGCAGTTAAAAACAACTCTAAAAGCCTTCATCAGGCATATAAAGTAAAACGAAATGAAGTGAACAAATTAATTAAATCTGCAAAAGTCCAGTTCTGTAAGGATAATATTCAACTAAATAAAGACAATCCTAAAGAGATGTGGGAAAATATTAACCAGGTCATCAACGGAAAAGGTCGGTGTTCTAAAACCACCACCATGATTACCACAATTAAAGATGATCTGGGTGATATTATCCAAGATGAAAAATTAATAGCTGACCAACTCAACAATTGGACCAAAATTGTCAAGTCAATTGCCTAACAATAGTTGAAACTTTTCAGAGTATCTGAACCCAGTAGATTGTGAATTTCAATTCACTGTGATAAATAATGACACTGTGTTTAAAAAATAATGAAACTTAAATCAAATAAAGCCGCCGGTCTTGACAAAATTCCCCAAAAATTATTAAAGGAGTCTGCAGTCGTTGTCACTCCTTATCTGAACCTTATTTTTAATCTATCCCTTTCAGAGGGGAATTTTTCAAGCGACTGGAAAAATGCTAGAGTTTCTCCAATTTTCAAATCTGGAAATCGAGAAGAATGTGGCAATTATAGACCTATCTCTATCTTGTCCGCTATTTCTAAAATTTTCGAAAAAATTGTGTTTGATCAGCTAAACCAGTACCATATTACAAACCAGATACTAACTCCAAATCAATCAGGGTTTAGAAAAGGGTACTCTACTTGCTCGTATCTATTAAGAACAACCAATGAATGGTTGGTAAATATGGATAAGGGATTAATTAATGGCGTTGTCTTTTTAGACCTGAAAAAGGCTTTTGATACAGTTCATCACGATATAATGATTAAAAATTAGAATTTTATGGTATCAAAAACACTGCTTTCCGCTGGTTCACCTCATATATTAGTCATAGAATACAAGTATGCAAAGTTGGGGTAACAATTTCAAAAAGTGAGAAAATCACAACAGGTGTGCCGCAGGGATCAAATCTTGGTCCCCTTCTGTTTTTGCTCTACGTTAACGATTTGCCAAATTTTCTTGACTCTTCAGTCCCAGCACTTTTTGCTGATGATACTAATCTTACTGTAAATGGCGCTACCACATGTGAGATACAGGGAAAGTTGGAAAATTATTTAAATAATGTTCACATGTGGCTTGTAGCTACCGTTTATCAATTTATATTGTTCTCAATCCACATTAAGTTATAGTTCAGTGGCGGGTTGGGGGTCTGGAACGTAGTCAAAAAACCTCGAGGTTAAAACGGCCATATTGGAATTTTGGAAAGTTTATTGTAAATATTTAAAGTTGGAAGTTGTTTTTCTGTGTGCGTTTCGAACAGTCCGGTTAGTGACAGTCATTTAAGTACTTCAAATCGGAATTATGTTTACTCTACTTTATTTAACAGTAATATTGTAATTTGTTTTAACAGAAAACCACACACACACACACATACACTGACGCGTATAGTTTTTGGACAATCACATGTAGATAGGAGTCTATATGAAGTTTTCGGACTTTTCTTATATTGTATTCGTGGATTTACTGGGTTAAACTGCGGAGAATTATGTCTGTGCGTTCCTGGCCAGTTCAGGGAGCTGGAAGTGTGGATAAATTGACGTGTATCGATGGCAAAAAGACGGCTACAAGATCTGAGATTGGTGACAGCCGAGACACCAATAAATATTGTTTAAGAGTTCCGAATAAGGGAAACTATTTGGACGGTAAAAAGTCAGAAAGAGCAAAGGCTTTATATGCTTCTCGAGCAGGATATGTTGGTAGTTTAACTAGAATTCGAAGAGAGATTGAAGCTCATAAGATGTCAAATGGGAAACTTTATGATATAGAGAAGAAATTGGAATCGTATGACAACGGTTCGCGTGAGTTTGTAAGTACCCATGAAAAATATTTAGACGTTATAGACAGTGAAAATGAAAAGAAAGCTGCTTATAGTTTGTATGAAGAGCAAATAAAGCGAAGGTTTGAATTTGGCTGTATGATTAAGTCTTGGAGACGAGAAGTAAGTCAGAGGGAAATGTTTCTTGTTCGAAAGCTTCAACAAGAAGTAGAGCTTCAAGTTCAAGCTCTAGATTGTCTTCCTTGTCGAAAAGAAGGGAAAGATTAGCCCTTGCCCAACTAAAAGTCGATCAGATTGCAAGAAAGCATGAACTAGCAAAGAAAATGTTAGATTTACAGAATGAAAGTGAGATGTTGGAGGCACAAATGCAGAGAGAAGAAGCTATGATGAGTGTTAGTATTTGCGAACAGGTTATTCAGGAGGAAAGAGAGCAAGAGTTAGGTGACATTAAAGAAATTAATGAGAATAACGGGCAGGGACGTCTCGACAATGCACCCACTAGAAGTGTCCAAGGGGAAGAAAGGGTGACTTTGCTCAAAGTGGATATTGATGACAAACATTCTTTGATAAACCAAAGTGAACTTGTAGAGAGAGGCACAGAATTTCTAAGTTCAGATCAACCAGGTGGACTTGCAAATACCCCAGTGCCCAAATTAATAACCCATGTCAATTCTAGTAATCCTATGCCAGAATTTCAAGGAATAAATTCTGGGTCTGCGGGGCAGACAACTACTGTGCCAAGCTCTGTGTTTCCTCTGAGACCAAGTACATCTGTAGTCCCACCCAGACCGGAACCAACAGTTCTCCCCGCGAATACATATTCATTGCCCTGGACTTTAACCCATCCGGTATTGTCCTATCAACAACCATCATACAATCCTCAGACATGGGATACTACGTGGAATCCTTACATGTGCAATGTAGGTTTACCCCCCCCCCCCTAAATTCAAACCATGGAGCACAAGTTTCAGGGAAAATAGACACTAACATTGAGATTGTTAAGGCTCTTAAGCAAGTGGTTGCCACACCAAAGATAGAATATATGCACTTTGATGGGAATCCTATCAAGTTCCCCTCATTTATGCACAATTTTGAAACATGTCTTGAAAGAAACAATGACAGTGACGAATCAAAGTTGCAACTATTGATTCGGCATTGCCATGGTAAGGCAAAGAAAGCCATTGAAACCTGTGTCAATTTGCCTGCAGATGAAGACCCTGACTGAGAACTTTGGTAAGCCGCATATAATTGCTAGGGCCCACATTAAGAAGTCAGTCAATCTACCCAGTATAAAGAAAGCTGATGGTCCTTCATTGCTTGAGTTTGCACGGCATCTTGAGTCCACTAATCGTACACTTAAGGGAATGGGTTCAGAATATGTCAGTGACTTGGATCATGTGAACACCTTGAAGGAGTTAAATAGAACACTTCCAATGTTCATGAAAGCAAGATGGACTGAGGAAGCTGGAAAGATATATGAGTGTAATTCCACACCACGATTTGAAGATTTTCTTAATTTTATCAAGAAGCTACATTGATGAACAATGAATTTGGAGATGACCTCACCTCTAGTGATAGTAAGGACAGGGCTAAGGAGAAATGGAGAAATAATGAGAAAGGTGGGCGCTTTAACAAAGAGAACATTGCGTTAATGGTAGGAATGAAAAGGGATGAGAATGGGAAGTTGAATTCGAGTGTTTCACGAAGAAATTGCTCCATGTGTTCTGGCCCGCATGGAATATGGCAATGCGAAAAATTTCGATTACTTTCATTGACGGAACGCAAGAAGGTTGTCACAGAGAAGTCACTCTGTTTTAAGTGCCTCGCAGTTGGTCATTATGCTCGGATGTGTCTAAAGAAACACTTTCGATGCCAATCCACTGGTTGTGGAAAGGAACACCATACATTGTTACATCCAGTTGATGTGATGGAAGCAGAACAGAAAGAAAAGGTCATACCACAAAGGTCAGGAGGAGCTGGGCAACAACCATCCAATGGTGAAATTAGCGGTGAAAATAAGGTGATTGCTGCAACTGGGGCCGGTGAATCTCGCGTATGTCTGGGAGTGATACCAGTAAAGGTTCGAGCAAAGAGTGGAGACAGTTATGTAGAGACATATGCACTACTGGACAGTGGTTCGGAGGTAACACTCTGTCGGGAAGAGCTGACTAAGAAGTTGCAATTCTATGGTAAGAAGATGAACTTTACTCTAACAGGAATGATCGGCTCACAGAATGTAGAAAGTAAACTTGTAGACATTGTAGTGGAATCTATGGATGGGACAACAGTAGTTGAACTTGAAAATGTTCGAACAGTCAAGGATATCCCTATATCAAAAGATTGTATCCCAAGAAAGCAAGATCTAAGGAAATGGCCTCACCTTCAGAACATTGACCTTAGCGAAGCTCAGTGCGACAAAGTCATGCTGATAATTGGATTGAAGGAGATCACGCAATTATTCTTACCGCTCGAGTACAAGGCTGGTGAAACGAGTGAGCCAATAGCAGTTCGTTACAGTCTCGGTTGGACGATTATGGGATCAGTTGGGAGCAAAAAGGGGAGCTTGGAATATTCTGTTAATCTTCTTCAAACGAGTACATCGAACGAAACAAGTTTCTTTAATCAAATCAGGGAATTTGAAAACGATGGATTAAAGACAGCATACCCAGTGAACGAAGAACGGTTAGATGATGTGAAGTGTTTGAGCTCTTCTCAACAATGTGATATTGATAACTCTCAGTCGGTCGTGAATACACCAGTGCGAAACAGAGTGGAAGAAGGCGAGTTTGAAGAGAATACCCTTAGACAGCAAATTGAAGGTCTTTGGAAGACTGATTTGGGGGACACTATAGTCGATACCAGACCTGGTCCATCGGTAGAAGATAAAAGAGCGTTAGAAATGATGGAAGATTCGATCCAGAAAGTTAATGGTCATTATCAAGTTTCATTACCGTGGAAATCATATCCACCTGATCTACCAAATAATCGAGCCCTCGCCGTTCGAAGGTGGGAACTGCTGAGGCGACGGCTGTTGAAAGATGGAAATCTGTTGTTGAAATACAAATTCACCATATCTGAATATATCAAGTGAGGACATGCTGAAAGAGTTCCTGATGAAGAGCTAAACCTGACTGACAAACCTGTATGGTATCTCCCACATCATCCTGTGGTGCATTACTTAAAAACCAGATAAAGTGAGAGTTGTTTATGACTGTGCAGCCAAGTATAAACAGACATCCCTAAACCAACAGCTATTGCAAGGCCCAGACGAAGCGAATCGTCTGGTTGGGGTATTAAGTCGTTTTCGGAAAGAATCCGTCGGAATTGTAGCAGACATCAAATCGATGTTTCATCAAGTAATCGTTGATGTGGTGGCCGGACGGTAATCTAACCAAATAACTGGTTGAATATCGGATGACGAAACACGTTTTTGGAGCGAAATCTTCCTCCAGTATTGCCGATTTCTGCCTGAAGAAAACAGCAGATCTGGAGAAAGATGGTATAGAACCTGAAGTGGTAGAGACAGTTAAGAAGAACATGTACGTAGACGACCTAATGAAGTCAACGAGTACAACTCAGAAAGCTGTTAACTTAGTAGATCAACTCCGTGAATTATTAGCCAGAGGTGGATTTCGCTTAACAAAATGGTGCAGTAATGACCGAGAAGTCTTAGCAGCTATTCCAGAGAGTGAACGAGCTAAATCAGTCGCTAATTTGGAGATAGAACATTTACCTACAGAGAGCACCCTCGGAGTTAAGTGGAATGTGGAAGAAGATAAATTCGTTTGGGAGATTTCACAAGAAAGATTCACAGTGGTTAGCAATAAGCCGAAGACTCGTCGAGGAATATT